AGGGTTCGGCAGGGCAGCGTGATCTGGTGCCTGGAGCCATGACTGCTGCGTGTCTCGTAGTTCTTAATTTAGAGCCGTTTGCAGAGGTTAATTTCCAGTTGCCCATGATTCTGGACACCTTAAGCTCACTCCAAATGTCAACTGTCGTGCTTAGAGCAGGTTGCTGTGTTATTTCAGGTTTGTGATGCTGGAACCTCCACCAGCAAGCGCAGAGAAAATCCCTGGCAGAGATGGTAGCAGGGTTGGGGTGTACGTGTGCACGAGTAACGCCAGTCTGTCTTCAGTTTCAGATGCCTCTGGATGTTCAATGATAGCACTCCTCCATACTGGAGCAGCAAAGTTTCCCCAAAACTTACTTCCAAGGGCAAGACAAGCTGTGTGCTCCCTCCTCCCGGCCGGTGTTCTCAAAGGGTACGGCTCCATCGTAAGCAGGAAACTGGCGTCCCACGGCTTTGGAGCTTCCATGGCAGCAATGTCATCCTTCCCTCCACAGAGATATCACTACTTCTTAGTGCTGGATTTTGAGGCTACGTGTGATAAACCACAGATTCATCCTCAGGTAAATAGTCACTGCTGTTAATTATCCCCTTGCGGGTCGCTGCTGCTGTTGCGTGAGGTGGAAGGAGGAATCGCGGTGCTGGTGCGCTGGTTTTCCCTGCTTTGTCCCACCTCCTTGCTGGTTCTCCAGGGCTCTTGCCACTCACCTGCCCTCTCAGGAGCAATGTCAGTGGGAATGAAATTAAAGAGCCCAATTCCCATCAAGGAAGTGACAATTCACGTGTTATCAGCACCATCCTTAAGTCATGGATGCTTGTCATCTGCCTGAACTGGGGAGGGTCTAAAGATTTTTGGCTGAGAGCCTGCGTTAGTAGAGTACTCCTGGCAGCCTTGATTGATTGTAGTCAGCAGCTTTAGGAAAAGAATAGTTTGGATGATATAAATATGTGCAACATAATGGTGTTTCTAAGTAGAGAGGATGAACAGTTTTGAGCTATCTGATTGCGCTGAAGTTATCTTCCCTGTTAACTCTGAAGGGTGATGAGATAGGAAGAGTTCAGCTGCAGAGGGATTTTAAAATGCCCTATCATGTGAGACATACAGAGATCCAGATGAAGTACAGCGGGTTTTCTGCAGACAGTTCTTCCATAATAGCATAGAGCATATTAGTAAATGTATTTTCAGTTATCAGCAGGATGGACCTAGCATTTCCATTAAAATTAGAAAAACATGCTAAAAAGAAAGAGACGAATTTGGGGTTGGTAAGGCAGAATTTCTGAGTCTCTAAATTGAACTCGGGCTTCTCACACTCCTCTACCAAGCAATTGGCCTCTTACTGGTATTGCCAGCAATATACCCCTTGGAGAATAACCTCTGTGTGCTTGGTTTGGAATATCACAGAATCACAGAACGTTAGGGATTGGAAGGGACCTCAAAAGCTCATCCAGTCCTAATCCCTTTCCCCTACACTGCTCTCTAATAGGTCATTCCCCAATTTATACTGGAACCTGGGGTTGTTCCTGCCCAGATGCAGGACTCTGCGCTTCCCTTGTTATATTTCATTAAATTATTCCCTGCCCACCTCTCCAGCCTGTCCAGATCTCGCTGGATGGCAGCACAGCCCTCTGGCGTGTCAGCCACTCCTCCCAGCTTGGTGTCATCAGCAAACTTGCTGAATATACTAAAGGCAAAGTGGTTTTTGGTGTGGTACCTCACTACTGAAGTGACCCCCTACAGCACATTCATTTCCCAGCGGTTTCCCTTGGGCTTGTCCTGTCAAGGGGATGCTGCAGGGCAGGACCCAAGGTGATGCCTCTCTTCCCCAGCGGTGCCTTGGCGAGGGCCACCTGCCTCTTGAAAAATGCACAGCAAATTCCCTGCTCCTCTGCTGGCTCTTTGCAGGAGGCTGTTGTGCACCCAGTGCTGCCACAGGGTCTTCACCGCTCTCCAAGTGAGATGTCAGGCCGTTTCCTGCACGCTCCGCCTCGGGTGCACAGACCTGTCAAAGCCGTAAATTGGATCTACCTTGGCCCTTTGGAGATGGGTTTGGTCTGTGCGCATTTTGATGCAAAACCATGATGCATGTGGAGCTGGTTTACAGCTGGCAGTAAAAAGGAGCATGAGTGGAATATGATTACTACTGTTTTAAGGAGCTTTGTCCCCAAGTCCTTGCCAGGGAAAGTAATGGTCTGGGCCAATGCAGATCTGCTATATATTTTGTTGGTGAGATAGCAGCTTTAAGGTGGAGATGTTCGTCGGTGGTGTTTTTCCAGTCTGCTGTGTTCAGTGCCTGCCTGCATCGTGTTGTGTGTGTGGAAAGGGCTGTCAGTCCTTCACATCAGCACCAACAAATTACTTTGACAAAGAAAGAAATGGCTCTTGCCACGTGGGAGTCAGTGTGGCTGGAGAGGCTGAAGGTGCCTGCCAGAATTGGGCGACTTCATAAAATCAGACTTTAGCTGGTGCCCCTGCCTGAATCTTACCTTTGTGCAGACCTGCATGGCTTTTGTCTGCACTGCTGGGCTGTGTGTCACGGTGAGCAAACTGCGCCGTGTACTTCAGTGGTGTTTGCACAAGGTTTTAGTGGCAGGATCTTTCGCTCGAGCAGCGGCAGACGGGTTTTGGAGGTTTGGTCTGAGGACAGAGTTGGGAGCTAGGAAAGGTCAGGCGCTGATCTTCCCTGTGATCCTCGTCATTCTGCTTTTTTATTTTAATACCTGCAAAATCGAATTCTAGATACAGTGAAATTCGGATGCATTGGACAAGGGGGCTGCACGTGCAGAGCTGAGTTGTGATCCTGGTTACTTAAAGTGGCTAGGCGTAGCTGCAGGTGTAAGTCAACTCAGCCTAGAAGCCTGTGGAGTGCACTTGCCACTGCATGACACGCTTCACGTTTCACTTCAAAATCCTCTGACTTCTTCCCAGAAACGACTGAAAGAGCGATCTTTTTATCTGCACTAAGGTCCCACATCTGCTCCCCCTCCTGCTGTATTTACCTGTGCTCTTCTGCAACCAGCAGCCTCTCTGGCTGGATCCCTGGGGAAGTCCTTCCTGCTCGCTCTGGAGCTCCGAAGACTCCCTCGTTTCCATTGCCTTTCACGCTGCCCGATCGCCCTTCGAGGTCTCACGGTATGGGGATGTGTAGTGGGGATCAAGGAGGGTGAAGGACAGTGGTATTCCCATGGAAAGCTGTCTGCATCGTGGCTCCAGCGTCTGGGGCCGTGGCTGAGCGCCTCGTGGCTGCTGCCCTTTGCTTTACTGCTTCTGGGTCAGGTATAGGGGGTCCTTTGTGTCCCCTGCCCTGTACACACAGAGGAATGGGAGCATCCTCATAGTCCTGGCTTCTGATGACTTTCAACAGGTATGGCCCTCAATTAAAGTGCATGCACAAAGAAGCAGCACAGCTTTATGAGGTTTTTGGACATATTTATGAGTAGTGAGACCATCCTAGAGAGAAAAGAAGGCACTGGGTTTAACTGCGTTGCCCCAGATGGATAGACAGGAAAACCTGGAAGCACAGAGACACGGTCTGTGTTGTGTAGTGTTTTAGGCAGCTGAAGGTCAGTAGGGGTTGGCAGTAAGGAATGTTTATGGCTGGCCCCTGCATCTCTTTAAAGCTTACCTTGTGCACTGGGGATTTGATCCGAAGCCCAGCGGGGTCAGGTGGGAGCTGTCGTTCTGCGAGGTCGGTGCATCTCAGACCACGCCGGTGGTCGTGTGCTTCATTTTTCAGCTCTAACTCTGCGACTTCTTTATCCCTTTACTGTCTGCTCGGAGTTTATAAGTGCCTGCTGCTTTTCTACACCATCAGCCTGTAGAGCGGGGTCCATGCGGTGCTTTGGCCGCAGGAGACGCGTTAAGAAGTGGGAGTCTCGCTCTTTTGTCCCTTTGTCCTTGTAAATCCAGAGTTTATGGTGGTCAGCGCTTCCAGTGCCTGTGTCAGGGAGCTCCTCAGGCTCAGATCCACGGCTGCCTGTACACTTATTTTATTAATGCAGTGAATGGGTGTTGCCTCTTGCGGTCAGCGAGCCAAGCATCTCGCCTTCAACGTCAGGAGGGTGCATGAAGAGCAATGGTTTTTTTAATGTAAGAGGTCTGAAGGCAGTAGTCAGATCTGCTTAAAGCTGAATTTGAAATTAGGCTTCTATATAGGATGTTAATCTCTGCTGTAATCTGTTAAAGCCACTCAAATGAAAACCAAATAAAACTCAAGCTTTGTGTGCTGCCTAGAAGTGTAAAAGAGCATCGGAGCCCTGACCTGGCAGAAGGAGCTGGACCTGGGAGTGGCTGAGCTGTTAAATGGTGAAGTTGCTTTTTTTTGTGTCGGTGTTTTTGGGTACTTGACTTCAGTGTCTCACATTCACTCAGATTTGATAATCAGTTGGGAATTAGAGATTTGCCTCTTAACTCTCTGTAAAAGGAAGGTATGAAATGTTCAGATCTCCCCATTGCTGCTGCCGGGGGCAGAAGAATAATTTGCTTGCAGTCAATACTTTCCTTGTGCTCTTAAACAGCACGTTTTAGATACAAAAATACCGTGGTATTTTTCTTCACTGTATCCTACAGATTTCAAGTTTGTTTAGAATGCGTTTTGATTGGTATTTGGGAGGCATTTTCAGTTATAATTGCTGTCAAATGAAACTGGACATACGAGATACAGAATAAATACAGAACATCCCTCACCGGTTCAACATAAAACCGTAAATGCTGAGGCTATGAATAAGCATATGCTGGGGTACTAATTTATTTTTAAGTGTACAAACAAATCTGGATGATCGCACCACATTTCCTGATTGGCAAAACGTATTAGCAGTCAGCAGACAGTCTTGCTGTAAAATAATGTTCAGTACGAATGCACGGCAAGGTTGAATTGGGTTCAGGCTGCGTTTCCTCGAGTGCTGGTGTAAAACAGCACTGAAGGCGTTTTCCCCTGCACGTTCATCTTGGGTTCTGGTGTAGCTGGAGCGGATGCAGCGGTCGCTGCCCGCGCTGCTCTGCCCGTGCTCTTGTTCCCATGGCAGGGCCAGCCGAGCGGTGTGTCTGCTCCTGAGCTGCCCTGATCGATAGCCTGACCTTGGCATGGGAACGGATGCTGATTTCCACCAAATTTAGGCTGTAGCAACAGATGTACGGTCCCTGTGGAGCTCCCTGCTCAGGGTGAGTAGACAAGGGCTGGGCAAGCTGCCTTGGGAGCTGTAGACTAAGCTCATAGGGCTTTCTAGAAGGAATATGGGCCAGCAGTGTGCCCAGGTGGCCCCAAGGCCAAGGGCATCCTGGCCTGTACCAGCAATAGTGTGGCCAGCAGCAGCAGGGATGTCATTCTCCCTTTGGACTCAGCCCTGGGGAGGCCTCACCTCCAGCGCTGGGTCCAGCTCTGGGCCCCTCACTTCAAGAAGGATCTGGAGGGGCTGGAGCAGGTCCAGAGGAGAGCAAGGAGGCTGGGGAAGGGACCAGAGGGAAAGGGTGGGAAGGAGAGGCTGAGGGAGCTGGGCTTGTTCAGCCTGGAGAAGAGGAGACTCAGGGGGACCTTCTCTGCTCTGCTCTGCTCTTCTCCCTGTCTCC